CGGCAGTGTCCTGCAGTGCAATCCATCCCCCCACAGCGACACACACCACCCCCTTCGATCACCACCCTCACTTTCAACCTGTCTTTCCTAAAAGACAAGCGAGATTCGTCTCAAACTCAGCCAACTCCTCTGCTCTGAGAGCAGCTACCCCTCCTCTCGGTTCACAGAATTTCACGCCGCGTCGACGGAGCGACATTACACACAGTAACCATATCTGTCAAGGTATCATCGACGCCTGAACTGGAGACCTCCCTGGAGGATCCATCCCCGATCGACTGGTTCTGGCTCGAGCGCACCCTGACCCTGGTCGGCCTCCTTTTCCAACAATATCAACCTTGCCAGACCCTCTCTCGCCTCAGGAACACATCACTCACTCACCTCAGTCATTCCTTGTCACCAGCCCCCATTCATCAGTCCCTGATTTCGCTCCCTCAGCAGTGCATTCCAGCGTACCATCTCCCATCCACATACTCTCTGGCAATCTACCGCAGCCAGACGACTTTCGCTCTTCTCGACATTCGACCGTAACAACCCATCACTCGCCTACAAACCGTCTCGTTCATCTTGGACATTGAACAACCGCTGGACCTGGATGCTCCGGCAATTGAAATCAGCTCTTTCAAGGAGCTCCTAGACAGGCCGCAGCAATTGGAACGGACCCGCTTACAGCCTTTGAGCTGAGGCACCCGTCCTGGCTGAGAAGGCCGACACCTAAAAATCACATTCGTCAGATTCCCAAGCAGAAATGACTGTTGCACACGATTTGACCCATCGCGGGTCGTCCTCCCATAGCGCCAACATGGTTGCTTTGGAGGATCGATTCGAGGTCCTAAAGGAAATTGGCGATGGCAGCTTTGGAAGCGTGGCTCTAGCCAGAGTCCGCAGCGCAGGTGCTCATGTGGCCCGCCGTGGTACAGTGGTAAGTCGCGTTCGCCGTAAGCGTCTGGCGTGCCTTCGTTGTCCCTAACCAATTCAATTCAGGTCGCCATCAAGACGATGAAGAAGAACTTTGAGTCTTTCAGCGCATGTCTGGAGCTTCGCGAGGTCGTCTTCCTTCGCACCCTTCCTCCCCACGCCCACCTCGTTCCGGCTCTGGACATCTTCCTCGACCCTTACAGCAAGAAACTCCACATTGCCATGGAGTACATGGAGGGCAACCTATACCAGCTCATGAAGGCGCGTGACCACAAGGTCCTCGACAACGCCAGCGTCAAGAGCATTCTGTTCCAAATCATGCAAGGTCTGGAGCATATTCACGCCCACCACTTTTTCCACCGTGACATCAAGCCCGAGAACATCTTGGTTACCACGTCGGGACATCAAGACTCCTCAGTCACATCTTTCCGTCGTTACTCCGCCCTCGTTACGCCTCCGTCAACACCTCCCAATTATACTGTCAAGATTGCCGACTTTGGTCTTGCTCGCGAAACGCACTCAAAGCTCGCGTACACGACCTACGTGTCAACGAGATGGTACCGTGCTCCCGAAGTCCTGCTGAGGGCCGGCGAGTATTCGGCGCCTGTTGACATCTGGGCCATCGGCGCCATGGCCGTTGAGGTCGCCACACTGAAGCCTCTGTTCCCCGGCGGAAACGAGGTGGACCAGGTCTGGCGGGTATGCGAGATCATGGGAAGCCCGGGCAACTGGTACAACAAATCCGGTGGTCGTGTTGGCGGAGGTGAGTGGCGAGAGGGTACTCGGCTGGCCGGGAAGCTCGGATTTTCTTTCCCCAAGATGGCACCACATGCTCTCGACACGATTCTCCAATCGCCAACATGGCCTCGAGAGCTAAGTCATTTCGTGACCTGGTGCCTGATGTGGGACCCCAAGAACAGGCCCACTTCTGCCCAGGCGCTTGCTCATGACTACTTCATCGACGCTGTCGACCCTCTTCGCCCTCGGTCTTCGGCTTCGAGGATTCTGGGAAGGAAGCAATCAGACCTTGGCCGTGGCAAAGACTCAACAGCGTCTACGCCCACTTCATCCAAGCCGTCGTGGTTCCGCAAATCTCTCATCGGACGTTCTGAGACAACCGATATCTCAATCGCCCAACTCGCGGCAAAGGACAATTCAGCTCCTCGGCCCGCCCCGGTCCATGCATCAACAACGAACGAAGTCCCCGTCACGAAGACCCGGCCTGCTGCAGGCAAGCGAAGCACATGGACTAATGGTCCGTCCAATGTTGCGCCAATGCCAATTCTGCCTACCATCAGGCCCATCTCGCCGCTGTCCGACGCTGTCACGGCACAAGCCAGCAACGGCTCGTACAATGATGCTTACGTGAATGGGAGCCACCGGGCAGTCCAGGTTGAAGGAAAGCCTGCGAAGGTCAGCCGACAGCTGTCCGTCGCGTCCAGTACCAACAACTACGCGGAGATCCACCGTCAGCAGGCTGAGCGGGCCCTCAACGGCAACTCTGGACTCGCTTCTCCACCGAGCGGTCAGAAGGAGGGCTTCTTCTCTCACCTGCGGAAGGGGTGCTTCGACGGTTCTCCGGAAGGCATCAAACACCAATCTCGCCAACGCATGAATCTATCGAGGGTCAGGTTGGTTGTGGACCCTGGAACAGCAACAGGTCTTCAATGGTGATTGACCAATCTCCACCGCCGCCGCCCAAGGCCGAAACCTATGAGTCGCTTGACAGGGCTCTAAGAGATGTTCAGCAGCATCGCGAGTTGCAGGCACCCGTGCCCCCTCAACACGCGTCGCCCACCAACAACCTCAAGAGACATCACTCCTTGCCAAAGCACAGTCAGCCACGTTCGGTCGATAACTTGATGATGGCTGCGCGCAGTGGTGGTCCTATTTCTAGCCGCACTCGTCGCGCTCAGGCCACGCAAGGTGTACACCAGTACGAAGCTCCTGACGAAGAAGACGAGCTGCTGGACGAGGTTCTCAACTCGACGCATCGAGCTATGAAGCGTATGGAAAAGGATGGCAAGCCCGGACTTCGGCAATCGGCCAGCAACATTGGCATCGCCAATCCGTACCCTACACCGTCGCCATCCGGAAGCGGCAACGCGGCAGCTTTTGGCGACGGCGCATTGACGCCCAAGCCTCTTGACCTCAAGAAGAACCGCAACGCCGAATACAAGTGGCCGACGCCCCCCTATGAGGAAAGCGAGTGGGCAGCCTCCGCATCTGCAAGCATTTGGGCTGCCGGTAACCGATTCTAAAGGATGATTTATTTTCTGGGAGGAACTTTTCACATGGTTAAACGGCATGTTCAGCAACAAAAGTCTTGTGTGTTTTTACCTCTCGGCATTTCGCAAGGAGTTTGGGGAGCGGCCGGATACCTACGTTGCTACTTAGTCGTCTGATTAGGGACGGCCATTGATTTTCTGTTGCTTCTGGATTTTCTTCTACTTTGCGGCATTGCCTTCATCTCAGGAACCACAACAAGGGTTCCATTTTCGACTCACAACATTCGATACCATTTCGCCTGACAGTCGATCCGCTTGAGCGCGCATTCACTCCTTAGTTATTTTTCCACGTCATTTCACCATCGGTTTCCGACAATACCCCTATTTTATAGACTGAATCGGGCGATTTCATCTTTTCGCACAGCGGCTCGTCCAAACCGGGCATTTTCCTTTGTCAGAAATCGCAACTAGGGAAGAGATGTCCTGGGACAACAAAGATCGACATCATGGCCATCAACAGATGACAAGGGGAGAGGAAACGGGCATGTGCCACCAGATGTACAAAAACAAAACAAAAGGCCTTCATTCTTACTGGGTTACTGCGGGCTGGACACGACAGGAGACTGGCAAGCTTGGAGGTCTTGCTGGACGCCGCGAGGCGGAGGCAGGCAAGGCGCGCGGCAGGGCAATTGGAAGGACCATGGTACCGTACATATGGATCTCGCATCAACTTGTTCTAGAGCCGCCATTGGTCTGTGGTCATGATGGTAGGAGATCAGGGTACCTAGCGTAAATGGGCTGTATCTACGAAGGGTGGTTTCGCCCAGCCATACCTAATAGGTGGGAGAAGCCACTGTAACGATCATGATTGGTGTCTGAATATGTGCGCCCTTGTGATGAATCTTAATTTGTTCCTTGACATGCTAACTCGCCACAATGAAGTAGGCTGAGGGCTGGGCCTACCGTGCAACCGTCATGTGAGCGGGTGACTTGGACGTCTGACACGGGGACACGAAACTCAACGGCGAGTGGTTGACACGAATCCCGCTGATAGGCACCGTCTGGTCAGGTACCGACGCTCAGCTGAGCACCGTTGGTCGTGTGTGTGTGTGTGGTGTGTTGATGTACCGGGCAAGTCGCTCGGCGCGGCACGATCAGTTTGCTTTGACGGCCTTCTCGATGGTCCTTGTATCTGTCGTGTGTCTCTTCCTTCTTCCTTCGGCGCCTGCGCCCATCCACCCGGACTGAATTGGGGGCTGCGCAATGTGGGGTGGGGCACCAGCATCACGGGACACCAACGGCGCGGCTCACCATGTACACACATCTGTGGGCGCTGGCTTTCGGAGGTGGAAACCAAGGTACTGGGGGCACGAACATATGCCCAATGGTGCGTCTGACGGCGAATCCTCCGGGAGCGACCATCTTTGCGTCAGGCGTGTCTAGGAAGGGAGTAGCGACGGTGGCGGATTCATGGCAAGATCCAAAGACGTACTTTGCAAGGGGCGCGGTGATGTTTGAGTTGGCTGTGAGGACATTGTTAGCTTTTCTCGTATCAACACACCGAAGACGCCGGGTGGCTTCGGTGAGTCAGCGTTAACGCGAGATGCCCGTCTCAAGGAGGGCGGGCTTGGTGAGCTGACCGAGGCGAGGCAAGATGACTTGAAGCCGAGTTTGATTCATGCTTCCGAACACGCGGCGGTGGGATGGAATGATTTGCAATTATGCTCTTGAACACTACCAAATACTATCAACCACTTTCATACCACGACTCGCGTACGCGACCTCACGCCTTGTCCACGCTAAAGGAGTACCGCGCCTGGAGGACATAGGGCCCATCCTCCGGGCCAAATACTTGCCTCTTCTCCCTTCCCCACTCGGGGTGGTTGATACCGTCAATCCAATCCTGCACCTCAAGAACGACGCAGCCGTACCGCGGGATGATGCGCGGGAAGGCGTCGGTGCCCTGCGTCTTCTTGAGAGGGATCGTTCCGTCCTGCTGCGTGCAGCTATACACCTGCAGCGCTTCCTGCTCCGAGAAGACCTCGACGGCGATGCCAGACCACGGCGACGACAAGCGGGCGACGTAGCCCGAAGACTGCCAGTCGTAGTTCCCGAGCGCCTCGCGGTTGACGGTGTAGCAGTTGTCATAGCCCGTGCAACCGGTGCCGCAGTTGCCCTCGAGCTCGTCGCTCGTGGCGTTGGCGCCCATGGGCTTCGGCGCAGACCAAAAGTCATTAACGGACCCCTTTTCGTTGGCGAGCACCTCGCCCGTGGGGATGAGGATGCCGTCGACCCCGATCCGCTGCCCGCTGTAGGGCAGGTGCAGGACGTGGTCGTCGGCCGAGCTGGTCTCCTCGTTGGCGAACCCGTCGAGGTTCCAGTACGTGTGGCTGCTCAACATGATGGGCGTGCGCGCCGTGGTCGACACGGCCACCATGGAGATGTCCCAGTCCCAGCCGCGCAGGGTGTACGTCACGTACGAGATGACCTCGCCGGGGAAGCCCTCTTTGCCAGCCGGGTCGACGAGCGAGAAGGTGATGCTGTTCTTGGTGTGCGCGGCGACAGTGAAGTTGCGCCAGCCCCACCCATCGGGTCCGCCGTGCAGCGTGTTGAGACCCTCGGGGTGTTCGGGTGTCTTGTTGTCGTTGGGCTTCACATGGAACGTCTCGCCGTCAATATCAAACGTGCTATTGCGGATTCGGTTGGCGTAGCGGCCGGGAACATTGCCAAAGTTTGGGTGCACGGGATCCTCTGTGTAGTACGTCGCGTTATCCCAGCCGGCGACGATGTCCCGAGGCACGCCATTACGATCGCGGACGATGAGGTCTGATATGGAAGCGCCGTAGGGGACAAAGGCGGCGCGGAGGTGTTCGCTGGAGATCCAGTACTTGCCGTCGGCATCAGGACCGGGGGTCGTAGTGTTGGTTGTGTTGGTCGTCGCGTACGAGAGGGGAGTGCCCAGAACGAACGGAAGGACACAGGCCACCGCCGCAAGGGAGCTTGTGGGAAGGATCATGGTGGCGATGAAGAGGAGAGGACCTGATGAGAACGACACCGAACGCTGGAGTGCGCGCTTGGTTTCATCGAGCGCTTCCCCGGGCTTTTAAGCGTTTCCCAGCACAGTAACATCTCGCCCCGCCTCAGGTCGCGTGCAGATCAAGGAATTGTTGACAGGAATGCATCCTGAGTGGTGCGTCTAGCACGTGGTGTTTTGCCGCCGGTGGAACAATAGTCTGAGTGACGAGAGTTCGCTCAACTCGCAGCATTCCCATCTCGGCAAGAACCAGCTCGGGGGTAGTTTGGCCGCAGACGCGAGGAAGCTTACAATGGAACGTCGTAGTCGCGGTGGGCTATCAGCGCAAGCTTCGTCGATCACCTTCCTTCGAGGTGGTTGGTCTGGCGGTGTTGATGGTTTCTTTCAATCTAAGCCGGCACTTTTCCGGGGGCGCTGGAGCCGTGTCGTCAGGCCTCGGGTTTACGCCGCCCGCTCATTGGAGCGCCTGTGACCGACTTGCATGACGGCAACGCAAGACGGGGAACATGGGATGTGGGGAAGACAAGAAGCAGGTTGTTGCTCATGCGGGGTGAACTGCGCTACCCCGGATTCCCCAAATGCTTGTTGCAGCAGACTTGACGTAGCAGGCGGTTGAGAGACGCAAGGCTTGAGTGAATATTTGTGTTGCTCAGCATTCTCGCGCTACTGTGATGTCTTGTCTTCCTCTGCCCTTATTTCCAGTTCCCACCATGTATGACAATGGGCCCAGGATCTGCTTCGACTGGTGTCGACACTGCAGCATACCATCCATTATATAGCCTTGCTAGAAGGCTGACCATCAATCTTCGCCTTGGCAAGCAGTGCACTCCTGGCACTCGATGTGATGTGCATCCTTGCCATAGATCTGCTCCTTGAAGCTGAATAAGTTCCTGATGCCAGGGAACTCGACAAAGATATTGCCGTGTGCATCGCAGCTGGACTGGCTCGATACTCTGTAGTACACGTTAGGAATAAGGGAAGAGAGGCTGGCGGATTTCCTTGCTCATACGTAGTTATGCGGCAGAGCGCTCCACGATCTGGCCCGATGGAACCAAGATTGTACGTGAACGGCGCCGGAATAACCTGGCATGTATACGAGATGGGAACGGTCACGCGTGCGCATTCGCCAGCCCATTCTGCCTCGGTACACATATACACCTGTTGTTCAAGGAGTAATGACTAGTAGACCCTGCGCATAGTCTTCTTCAGAGGTGAACTTACACTGCCTGGGAAGCGCTTGCTGTATATGTTGTCGGCGGGCGAGCTAGCCATCATCCGAGCAACCTCAATCGCGTTGACAGCTATCCAGCCTCGGGGTAGCTGCACGTCTGTATCGCGACCACTTATAGGTGCAGCGAAAGCTGCCGGAAGGAAAGATGTGATTGCTGAATACTTCATGTTGCTTTTTGAGAAGGGCGATTTACGGGCGCTCTGGCTGCTCGAGTGAACGGATGCATGTGCTAGCACTTTGCTGGGTTCTGGTGTTCACCGTTGGATGACGTGTGGTGAATTTATACTTTCTTCCGCTCCTGGCTCCTAGCTCCTGTGGTGCTGTTGAAGGAATCATGGCTACTGACGTGCTGCGATTCGTTCGAGCCTACTAACTCTAGCACCAGTACATGTAACAGTCGTTATGAAAGTAGTCTTGATACGATGTGCTGCTGCAGTAGCTGTTGTTACACAATCGTTCGTATACTGCGAGATCATGACGAGCCCGGCATCCTGACACTTCGATACAGACCGCTCTTGCTTTTGAGAATGGTACTAACCTTGTATTCAACGGAGATGTAGTTCGGTGTAGTGCTACTGACTGGGTTGAATGGCTGCTTGACGAGGAAGCTTGACGCCGAGCGGCAAGTTTCCTTCTAAGCGAATCGTGACCAAGCTGCAACTCAGGCGGTAAGGACCTTGAGGACGCCACAGTCGTACACTGCTCGGTACTCGAACAACACTGCTCACGTCATTTTCTATGAAGTACATGGGAGAGCTCGCCTTCGAAGTGGCTCGTCGCTGATCGAACAACTGGTTCATCATGTAAACGAGTGATTCGGGCAATTAGTGTGAAGCCTGGATGGGATCAAAGAAGACGGATGATGCAGTCCTAGAACGAGTGTGTCCTTTCCACAGCATACATCGACAGAACTACCAAGAGGGTCAATGAACAGCAAACCATTTAGGACTGGGGAAGTCGTACGTATTCCGGTCCGAAGGTGTCATGAGCAGATCTTGCCAGTCAGACTGTTCGTGGTGTTCACCTTGCAAATTGCACATAGGAAACCCAAATGACCCCAGAAGAACCGCGATCGGACGATGCCTTACACTAAGGATTTTGGCGGGTGAATGTCCAGGATGGACAAGAAAAACTTGGAAGAACGGTAGCGTGTGGCCCATCTTACATCTTGGCTGGGTTGGAAGGTGGTATCGCAGGCAACATGTTTCGTCTCGTGAATCAGTCGAACCCGAACAACCTTGCGCTAACGGAGTCGACGACCCCTTTCCTAGTTGTGTCAACGACAACCTCATCGGAAAGCAATGGTCTTAGTCCAGGCTGCTGCGAGCTTCCGGCAGCAGACTGGGCATATGTTGCACGACTAGCCTCGCGTGACGTATGTTGGCTGTCCGAGGCTCGTTCAGCCTCCTCGAACAGCCGCCCGATGGGCTCAAGTTGACCAAAGTACGCCATAACACATGTATCATGGATCGATAGGCCGCTGTAGATTATCCCAGTGCCACCGAGCGGCTGACCAATCTACCAGGTGCGCGATACGTGTGACAACGTTGAGCCGACGGTATTGCCGAGACTGGTGTTTGGATGTAGCTCGAAGACTCTACAAGCTGCAGCCTGATGCAAGTGTCGGATGGGCGACGTTTCGTCCAAAGTCATGCAATTGAGGTCATGCGGATCGACTTTACAATCCCAGCGGTATCCTAAGAATCCTAGACCACGTCGAGGCGGGTTAAGACCCGGGGCAGTGATAACGCGTGAGAAGCTGTCATGGTGCCAAGCCATCTGACTCTTTGCCGCGTGATCTACACGAGGGTAAACAGACAAAGTGTACAGAGACACGTGACGCTCGCTAAAGGGCGTTCGAGCTGTTTGTTGCGCATGTCGGCCAAGGTTTACGGTTGTCGTCCGAGACTGATGC